GGGGGGGGGGGGGACGCACGCTCGGACCTCGTGCTCGGAAACAACGTCGTAAAACAGTGCAACGAGCTTCGGCGTCCCCCGCGAAGTCCTCGAAGAGGATCCTGGAGGATCCCTCGCTCGGGGATGGCGAGGACGTGGGTTCACCAGGTGGAGTGTCGTGCGCATATTGCATCTCGGGAGTGCGGTGCGTGCGGAACGGTGCGGGGAGGGTGCTCGCGGTGATCTTTACCTGATGACGGATCGTTCAGCGCGGATGCCCATGTCGTGATGCAGAACACCGGGATCGCGAAAGCGGGGAGCATATTGTTACGTCGACGACGCGGCTACGTCAACTGAGGAGTAAACCGCCGGCGCGCGACGCGGTTCCGCTTTGCCGCCAAGCCACGCGGGCGCCTGCGTGCTGCCTCTCGCGTCCCCGCGCGACTTCCGTCCGACGGTCCGAACCGCGAGGGGGTTGCCTACCAAGACGAGGGGGAGATATCTGTTTACAGTCAAGCGCTATTCACAAACGCGAGCGCGACGAAGCGCAAACGCAACGCAATTGCATATTCGCGCGTACATATTTGGCGAAAAGGAAGACAGTATGCACGGTTAAAGCGGGGACGTGTACACGCGCAGGAAGAAGTACCGCTTGAGACCGCGTTCTCTGTCTCTCAAAGAACTTCAGAGACGACGGGAAGAAACTTCCGCGTACCCCCGGAGACCTCGGCGAAGCTCGCTCTGATGCGAAGAATACATCCCGATGGGATTTCCTTTTCCTTCCTCCCCCCCCCCCCCCCCCCNCCCCCCGTTGTTTACCGAATCGATCAGTCGATCTGTGTCGTTAGGAGAGAAATAATCTCACGTATTAGCTTAACGGTTAGATGGAAATTTAACAATGAAACGGTGTCTTCACAAATTTGTTTTTAATTCAGAAACCTATCTAAGGTCGCTCGGCTCTTTTACTCTTCTTCGTATGTTATTCAGTTTATTGTGAACACGTTGTCAGCTAATTAATCGCTGAACGGCCACCTTCGTAACGAATTCTTTGACGCGATCGTTACGTAAAATTACAACGTGTTGTAATTGTCACGTAAAATTATAACGCGTTACGAAATTAAGATCGCCAGCGCGCATGTTATTAACGCTAGGAGTGTTCCTCTAAATTGCATAGGGACACAGGGCAAGAAACAAAACTTGTCTAATTGTAAGTCCACCTTAATTCTGATTAACGAGGACGCCTGTCGAAAAAGTCGCGAAAGAGCGAGTTTGCATGGTAATTACTTTCGCAATAATTACATTGCCTTGTAATCGTTCTAACGATCTTATTTCGTCCCGCGTCTGCTTTTTGTTCAACACGGACGAATTTTAAAGCGTCTCGATATTCATTTTGCACGAACCGGATTTTAATTGTGGAATTGAACTCTCGTCGCTTTCGATGTATACTTGCGAGATAACAATTGAGAATTTTTAGACATGTATTTAACATTTATTTATGCACTGTTACGTGTCGTGCCATTTCGTCGGTATCATTTATCATCCGCAATCCAATTACAGAAGTTTCAATAAAACATAGGACGTATTTAAATCGACATATTACGGTTTTTACAATGAAGACTGATAATAACTGCGGTATCTACAAAATATCGAGAAAAAGGAACGAAATATGCACGTAACAGCGATCAGCGTCAATTATCCCGAGTCAATGATACACGGTTAATGTGACATTCGTATAGCGATATTTATAATTATGAGATTTATAAGTTATATTTTATAAAGCCTGATCACAACACACACACACACACACAAATTGCCATTGCGCACTACGATGTTGCGTGTATCGCCAAAGAGCGATAATTTTACAGAAATGGAACAAACATCAAATTGAAGGAAAACCAGATAATTATCGCCTATCTTTGAATATATATTAATAGGTAATCAAAAATATATAACTCGATCTCGATCTTTCAAGTAATATCTAATTATCGTCTCACAATAGATTAAAGGGTTAGAGATACAGTTTGAATAATTAGTTAAAGCTAATGTAGGGCGTTTAATACGTTCGTTCTCAGGGTTTATTTTGGAAACCCTCCCCACAGGCCACTTCGTTTTATTTTCTTTCTCTTCTTATTTAATTATGTAAAACGGACTCTTGGGTATAGAAAAGGAAATTTTCGCTGTCACATATAATATGTGACGTTAGTCTCTCACGAGAGATCGTGTGTCATACATGTACGCGACGCTAGTAGCGCGAATGAATTCATTGGTAATACGCGATACTGTAAAAACCATCCGCGTCACTTATTATGAACTGACATTCTCGAATTCATAAATAAATGCTGCAATTGGACTTGGAGTTTCGGGACGACTAAGAAGTATAACAATGCTACCTTCATATGTACATATATCGTATAGAACTTTTCTTTCAAGAAAAGAAAAAGCATTTAAAAACATAAAAATTCAAAATCTCATACAGTATAATCAAATAATTGATTTTTTTTTTTTCTTTTAATACACTCTGTATGCTCTGTTATTGGATTAAATTTATCTAAATTATGTTGATAATTATCGTATCGATACTGAGCATTAATTGATAATGAATGAAACTGCATATAATACATATAACTCGGTGAAAATAGCATCTTTAGCTGTCATACCAAATACACACACACACATATGTCATATGATTAAAATAGAAATTACTCTCACGGTGGCGAAGCGGTGTTGTAAAACTCAACAAACGATCGATCGTGCAGTGTGAATTTTTTGTAAACAAGATTGTTTCCCACGGTAACGTGAGATCCTAATCCGGAAAAGGTTAAATGGATCTTTCGATTTTTAAGACCAGTTAAAAGTGATATCTCAAGCATTCGTCATCCGAAAAATACCACAAAAGGCTCTTCTTTTTTCGCGGATAGTGTCTGAGGTATTAGAATAATTTTTTCAATTTGCATATTTTCCATGTGGAAGCTTGAAAATATGCATGAGTTATGTTTTTATCGACTAGACAATGAAGTATAAATAAATGAAATGTCCGATCAATTTACATGTTCTGTTATTTCGAGAATATCACGTTGAATGTCGTCGCGTCGTATTCTTTAAATTTTTGATCTCCCCGTGTCCTCATGTCGATATCCGTCAACGAGGAATTCATTTTCTCCCTTAGGCAGATAAAGCAGTTTAAATCGATCTGCACTCAACATTATTTCGCGTAGACGAATATCGTCGCGTCGTATTATTTCAATTTTTAATCACATCGATATCTACACGACACATTTATTTCCTCACACAAGCAGACAAACAAGCCGTTCTAATCGACCCTCAATCAGCGCCATCCGTGTCACCCGACGTCGCGTGAACGAACGGATTACGCAGCCGGTCGATTTGTCCATTATCCGTGTCAAACTAAGAAATCGTCATTATAAAAGGCCAAAAACAGCGGGGGAATAAATACAAAGCGCTCGCCGATGAAATACAAAGCAGTTTATCGGTGCATTGTTACGGAAAACAATTGTTTGTTTTCGCCGCCCCCTCCCCCCCCATAACTTTCCGTGCTTCGGTGCATCGGTGAATTGTCCACTTTACCACCCGTAGCGTGATACGTACGCAATATTGCTTTTTTTCCTGTCTGCACAGTTTTTTTGTCACCATTTTGTCGAACTAGTTCTGGATGCACACTCATGCAGCAAAAATCTCCTCGCGATATTCTCACGCGTTCGACCGTGGCGGAAAATTCTGTTTCGGCATGGTCGCAGCCTTGCGTTCCGATACATACAATAGCGTTTTATTTATACGGCGAGCAGATCAACAAGCGGCAAAAGGTAAATAAACACCGAAATCGGGAAAGACACCCGGCGACCTCGGGGATGGCAGAGACGAAGCACAATGCGGTACAGTGCAATGCTCTCTCTCTTTCCCTAACAGTGGCGCTTTCTTCCCTGTAGTGGCTCGGCTACGCGATCGGAGTAGAGAGCTCGCGTGATAATTCATGCTCACCGCGGATACTATTTCGAGCACGCGTGCCACTTGATGGAATCGCACCTCCGGTTCAGCGCCATTACGTACAATTGTTTTCGCTTATTACATGCATGCGATTCCAGCTAGCCGCAGTATATGGCGAGAACGCGTCTAGTATAACTCCCCTCGCTGATCCCGCTTTCTGATCCAGCTTGCGGCGAGACTCCAGATCTCTCGTGTGCGAGCCTAACGAGACTTTCGGGAATTTTCAATCTGGTGATTCCCGCGACCGAGAAAGAACCGCGAAAGATACGCCGCCGCGTTATCGTCGATAACGTAATTTGCGCCGATAACGTAATCCGCGAACAGTATCTCATCGAATTATCGGTTGTTTCGATTAAACTTGTGCCGGTCGGCGCTAGCGCGCCGCTACGCTATAATGTGTATTCATTAAAGATAATTGATCAAGTGTTATTATGAAAACTGATTCCAAACGCGCGTACGCATGCAGACACGCTTTTGCTCCCGAATTAAGGATACGTTGCCCATAACTCGAAATAAAGAAAAGGTTGTGAAAAAATTACAAAATGATTTACGTTGCATTTAAAGGTGACACCGAAAATTTTACAATAATTCAGAGCCTGGATCAAAAGTTATTCCACTTTAAAGGAGATTGTAAGGTGAAATGGTTTGGTAAAGATTAAAAAAAGATCGAACATTCGAGAACTGAAATATTTGTAATTAAAATTAACACCTTTTATGCGTGTTCCTTGAGATTAGCGTGCTATTTTTAACATCTAAATTAAGAATAAGATTTTTATTGAAAAACTGTCTTCGTGTTATTATCTATATCTGTCTTTATTCAGGTATCTCTATTAACTCTACTAATGCATAAAAATAGCATTAATAGAGGAAATAAAAAATATTTTCGTATTTGTAATATTGTTTATACATATATAACATTAATATAACATTAATTCAACTTCGTTTCGAATTAATACTTATTATTTGGATGGTGAGATAAATACGTAGGAACGTAATTTCGCTTGATAGATACTAAATTTTTCAATAACCTCCTTGATGCATCGATGCCGTTCCGTTGGCACTTTTCACGGAACTCATCGTCAGGCTTCATCGCGGGGCTCGAAGGTGAAATAATTAATCGTGGTGTAAGTGCGTAGCAAATTCGCTATTCGCCATCGTCCTTATCGGCTGACGAAACTTAAAACTATATCATCGGCATGGTTAAAGAGACATTAATGAATACGGAATGAGGTGTAACGCAGTTAATATACATGCGTCGTGCAAACTTTTAATTGCCATTTCTTCGATAATTAACTGTATACCGCTCTCATTAACTTAGCCGAAACTCATCTATTTGATAATTATCTTTAATATTGCATTTGGTGCGTCCGAGCCTGGCAAATACGATCCGCGTGTTTGGATATAGCTCTCGCGATATACATTTCTCATTCTCCACATGAAGAAAAATCATTCGCTGGCGCAGCGAATTTTATTTTCTTGCAAAAAATCTGTCAGCTATTGTGTGGACAGTAGAACGACTTGTTAATAATTCCAATTGCGTTCGCGTGATTATTTTGCCGAATCCACCGCGTCTGTGCAGTTTTCTTTTCTCCACTTCACAACCGGAGATGTCTGTCCGATTTATCGAGGATTCTTGTAATGTAAACATTTCTAAGCCGCATCACGAGCTGCGCTACGTGTCGACTTTGTATTTTGAAAGTTGAGGAATTAGTCAATTCTCCAGGCGGGGGGGGGGGGGGAATGCAATATA